ATGCACGTTAATTCTCCAACAAGAATCTCAAAAACATCATCCTCGACAATTGATTATGTGGTTTCCGATTATCCACCCGCTGACTTCCATTCTACAGTTAGTGGGGGGCTTTCTGATCATGAAGCGGTATATACCAAGTTCAGCAGTTTACAAACACCTCACTCAAAAACCCGACGATTAGGTAGGATTTTTTCCACTCAAAACTTTCGTAAATTCTATAATTCATGCTTGACTTCTGACTGGAGTTTTTCTTCTGGGGACATTGACTGTAATGTTAGTGATTTTCTAAATAGACTTGTATCTATTTTTAATAAAGCATTTCCTCTATTAAACATCAGGCCAAAACATAACAAACCTTGGATTACCAAAGGCATTCGCATATCTGCGAAAAATATGCGTTCTCTGCTATATACTAAAAAATTTAATGACAGTATCCCCATCTCTGATTATATCAACAAGTACAGAAAATGCTATATAAAACTACTCAAAGTAGCCAAAAAATCCTACTTTCATAATCGCTTAATAAGCTCCAAAAATATTTCAAAAGAAACTTGGTCAATAATAAACGATTTTCGAAATAAAACCAGTACAGCGAATCAAACCTTTTCTTTTCCTAACCCCGAAAATCTAAATGATTACTTTGTTAATGTGAGTAAAAATATAACCTCAACTATTTCGCCACAAGATCCAGTTTCCTATCTCTCTAATTCAAAAAACATTGCTGATACCTTCTTTTTAAGACCAGTTGATAAGACGGAACTCATTTCAACAATTCGTAGTATAAAAAGCACATCGTCCTGTAATACAGATGGATTATCTATTAAAATTTTCTCAAATCTACCGCATAATGTTTCGGAGGTCATGGTCTCGCTAGTAAATGATTCCCTTGAAAAAGGTACATTCCCTAACTGCCTAAAGACTGCCATCGTCATTTCTCTTCATAAAGGTGGAGAAAAATCTGATGCCTGCAACTATAGACCTATTGCCTTGTTACCAGCACCATCAAAAATTATTGAAAGACTTATAAAAGTTCGACTTATGCCCTTTCTCCTTAAATATAATACTTTATCGCAAAATCAGTTCGGCTTTTTGTCTAATAAATGCACTAGTGATGCCATATTTTCTCTGTTACATGATGTATATCTATCACTAAACAGTAACCTCTCCTCCGCCACCGTTTTCTGCGACTATTCCAAAGCCTTTGACTGCGTAAATCACGACATTCTATTAAAAAAATTAACTTTCTATGGAATTCGGGGTGTGTCTTTGAACTGGTTCAAAACTTACTTGGTAGGTAGGAAACAATTGGTTAGAATAAATGACACCGACTCTAGTTGTAAAGATATTGAGTGTGGAGTACCGCAAGGTTCAGTATTAGGTCCCATTCTTTTTTTACTTTTCATTAATGACATCACTTACTTGAAAATTAAAGGGAAAATTTTTCTATTTGCTGATGATACCAGTATTACTTGGAGCAGCTCTGATATTTCAACGCTTCATTCAATTATAACCGCTGATTTACTTATAATCAAGGCTTGGTCAGACTCCAACTTACTTAGCTTTAACGTGGATAAGACTGTAGCATTATCTTATAAAGGAGTCATGCAACCCTTGCTTTTAAATGAGAGCCAAATCAATATCGTAAATTCCGTGAAATTTCTAGGTATTCTCATTGACAGTGATCTCAAATGGTCCTTGCATACTGACTCCTTAAGGAAGAAACTAGCCTCAGCTTGCTTTGCAATAAGATCTGTTTCGAAGGAACTAAATTTATCTTCTGCCAAAATGGCATATTTCTCATTGTTCGAGTCCCATCTTCGATATGGGCTTCCATTTTGGGGTTCTAGTACAGCGGCCCAATTTGATACTATTTTTAAGTTGCAAAAAAGAGCAATCCGTTATCTATTTGGTCTCAAACAAACAACTCATTGCAAGACCTACTTCAAAAATCACGGAATTTTGACGCTTCCCTCTTTATTTATTTTGGAAACGGTTTGTTTGATTCGAAAGCATCTAAACATTTTTCCCATAGACCTGACCATGGCTACTCCATTAGAAATTCGGATTGTAACGTTTATTTGCCGATCCCGTCCACTCAGCTAGTAAAGAATTCTATTCTATATCGTGCAAAGAAACTTTATAATCACCTTCCAAGAGAAATTAAATCCGCAACATCCTTCATTAAGTTTCGTAAGGTGACAAAAATCTATCTCTCAGAAAGACCATATTATTCAGTTGACGAGTTTCTTAATGTATAACAAAGAAACAAAATTAGTATTGTTTATAATTACATTTGGGTGTCTCAAGCAGTGGCTACAATTTGTCTCATTTGTTGTTGTCTGTACAAATTATGTAGGTTATACAATAATTTTACTAATTTAAAATTGTGTTATTCTGTTTTTTACTATATTTGTTTTTGTTTTATACTTTTTGTACTATTTGACTGATTAATTTTTCAGCTTTGTCCATAAAATTGTCCAATAATTTTCAGTGACAATAAAGCATAGTTCTATTTCTATTTCTATCTATAATGGTATTTTGGCATTTTAAATTAACCATTGTGTAGTCCGTTGGATTTTTGATGCAATTTTCTTTGTGGCAATTTTCACGTGTAAAATCTTAAAAAGTGCTCAAGATAGAGCAGAATGGACAAAAATGAGAGAGGCCTATGTCCAGCAGTGAGCGTAAAGGGCTGGGTGATGACGATGAATTTTTGATTTTTATTTCGATTGATTTCCCAAAGTTCGGAGCCGTAAAATCCAATACTTTCTATTATTGTATTATAAATTCTTCTTTTATTTTCTTTTTATTATTTTATTACTCCACAATAGTACGTATCGATATCTAGTGGCTGCAAGTATTTAATGGTTTCAGTTGATTTTATAGTTTTCATTTCAATTTGTAGGCTTTCTGCTTTTTCTCTTGTAACTAGATACTCGGTTTTTTGTATATTAATTGTAAGGCCCCACTTGGTGCACTTCTTCTCCAGTTTTCTAAGCATGTAGTCTATATTGCTCTCGTCTTCACCTAGAATGGCTTGATCGTTAGCAAAATGTATCGTGTATAATCTCTCGTCTTCGATTGGAATGCCCATATTGTAGCATTTTCTTCTCCACACTGAAAGCGCTTCATTCAGATATATGTTAAAGAGTGTAGGTGCTACGCAACAGCCTCGCTTTAGACCCTTACTAGTGGAAATTTCTCATTTACTTTTTTTTCAGTTTTAATGTTTACCGTCATATTTTTGTAAAGCTATTACGCTGCTTTCATATTTTTTTATTTATTCCTTATTTCTTCATTGCTACTCATAGTAATGAAGGTGGTACACTATTGTATACCTTTATCAGATCTACAAAGACTACATAAGTTGAACGGTTGTGGGCTAATCTTTTCTCAATAACCTGCTTTAGAGAAAATATGCTGTCTATACAGAATCTGCCTGCACGAAAGCGATTTTGTTCTTCTACATCTGTCATCTTATTTTCAATTTTATTTTTTATTATTTTTCCATAGTCTTGAGAGTGAAATTATGACACTTAGCTCCTGTAGTAGTAATTCCCGCCATACTTGTGGGCTGTGTTTTAATTATTCGTTCAGTATACCTTGCGGTCCACATGCTTTGCGATTTTTTAGCCTTCGTATTGTATCTTCGACTTTTTAAACTGTTATTTCATCTTCGACTTTTTAAACTGTTATTTCATTGCCTTCATCGTTTTCCACTTCATATGTTTTTGTAATGGTGTTCGTGAATTTCAGACTTGTTTCAGTCAGAAGTTGTGAGTAATGTTCGATCAAAGATCTCTCTTCTATTAAATTAAATCTACTTTCTTCTTTTCTGTTTTTTTCTCAGGTTTTTTACTAATTTCCATGCTTCTCTTGATCTGGTTAACCCTATATATTTGTTTCGTTAAGCTCTTTGCATTTACTTTCCCAGGATTTTTCGCTATGGTTACTAGATTTTTTACTTCTATATTAGATCTTGTGTATATTCGTCTATCATCTGAGTCGTTTGGTTTTTATTTTTTTAATTATTACCTGAATATTATATTGTCTTTTATTATTATTTATTTTTTCTAAATCAGATCATCTCATTTTGCTTATTCCAAGAATATCAATATTTGATCTATTAATTTCTAGGATGATGTTTACGATTTTGCCTTAGGATAAGCTACAAGAAGAAATTGTCAGAGGTAGTTACCAAAGATGCTTGAATTCATATTTGCAACAGCAATCGACAAAACTGGATTTAAACAATGATTTAAACAAAGAGACAAGTCTAGAAACATAGTGAGATAAGATTCCTTGAAAGAATTATTAAAGGTATATCAAAGCTTAATAGACACTGAATTGAACACATAAGTGTATGAAAATCGATTATATAAACAAATAGTTAGTTTGTTATGCAAATAATATACCATACCTCGTTACTTTAAAGAACTAAAAAAAAGTTCATGATATTTACAAACAACACTCTGCAAAGAAACCTTTGAATAGAAATTGCACCTAGACAAAAATAGTAAAAATGTAAATATACTTAAAAATCTAGGAAACAGACATTCTAGACATATAATTTATTTTAAAATCACTGCATACAAAAGAATAACAAAATTTGTATTTAAAAACACTACGACGTTTCTTTATAGCAAAATCACACAAGAGTTAAATTTTAATAGCCAACTAGACAGCAAGTGAAAATTGATGTTTTTAACAGGTAATAACTACAGTAGCAGGTAATACTACCTAATAAAACTGAAGATATGGTCAACTATTTCAAAAGATAGCACTTGAATAAGTAAACTTTATCGTGGAAGGATTTAGAGGAAAATAGAATAGAATTCATAACAGCCAAACAAGCTTTGGACTTTTATAAAACCAAATCTTTAGAAAAGGTGCAAATAAAAGCAGGGCTGCCTTATTAAAGAAAAGAATAGTACAAAAATAGTGCATATTAAAATTACAACAAAAATAATAATTGATTTTATGTATAAAATATATTTATATTTATATTTCGTCACTGTTTTTTGTTAAAATGGTTCTGTAAATAAAAAATTCAAATACTTTTATATGCAACATTTATTTTTTAATAAATAATATCACTTCATTGCAAAAATCAATAAAAAGTTCAGTTCCTAGGAATTGCTATTTGTTATCAACCATGAAGACCCAAATGACCAGCTCCATGTCCCCATCCGCCAAGTCCAAGACCTAAACCGGCATGTCCCAATCCCAAACCCAAACCTAAAGCAGCAGGGCTAGGATAGCACCGTGTCCGTTGGGGCCAGTTGGTCCTACAGCTCCGTGTCCGTTGACTACACCAGCGGGTCCAGCAGCTCCAGCTCCAGTTACGACTCCAGATGGACCAGCAGCACCGGCACCGGTGACGATTCCAGAGGGACCTACTGGGCTAAGAGCATGACCAGCAAGACCTAATCCCAAACCCAAGGCACCGGGACCAGCAAGGATAGCACCATGTCCGTTGGGACCAGTTGGTCCTACAGCTCCGTGTCCGTTGACTACTCCAGCGGGTCCAGCAGCTCCAGCTCCAGTTACGACTCCAGAGGGACCGGCTGCGCCGGCTCCAGTGACGATTCCAGAGGGACCAATGGGGCTAAGGCGTGGGGGTTGACAATACCGGCATGTCCCAATCCCCAACCTAGACCAAGGTGTGAGGCGGAAGAGGTAGCTACCATGGCAGCAAATGTGAGGGCAATCTATAAAAAAAAACACAAAGAGGTAAAGATAAATAATATACAGATATTATAATAGGCGGTAGCCTATGCCATTTTTTGGGGATAGATTACCGCGACTTAGCCATTCAATATAATTCTATTATAAATCTCAAAACGAAAAATAAAAAACTTAACAGTAACAGCTGTTAATGGTAGGAGTAAAACATGGACAATCGCATCTCATCTAGAATCCTTTCAAAATATTTCATTTAGATAAACTACATTAGAAAACAACATAAATACATAAAAACACATATACACAAAAGCATTACTAAAAGATTATCAGAGTGCTTTTGTAAAATATATTTACTGTTGACATGAATATAAAAAGTCAACTCAAAACCAAAAAATGAAAAATATTTCAATTTAAAAAACTGATTTTTTAAAAATAATCTAATTAAAATTTTAAGTAAAATATTATGTTTTTATTCAAAAACATGGAATCCAAAAATAATTTTTGATTAATCAATGTTTTCAATATAACCTACCAAAGCGTTCATGTTGAGCTGTTGCGATTAAGACACAGGACCAAACTGATACCGTTCATCTTGCACCCCCGGTTTATATACATACACAAATGTTCGTATGACCTTCGATTGAATATGCATTTCGCTGAAAATATCTTTTTGCCAATATAACGGTGTCTTGAAATTGTTCGCGGTATGTAAAACTTATACATTTTAATGGTTTTGTTTTCTGTTGGCTGATTTACTGATACAGTTATTTTCAATGCGGATTTTAATTGATAAAAAAATATTTCCTGGTGTAAGTTAAGTCAGCACAACAATTTTAGAAAAAAAATGTTCTTCAAAATTAAATTTTTTTTAATACCTACTCTCATTGAATTAAGAGAAAAAAACAAAAATGTTAAAGATTTTTATAAATTTGCATACAAATGTCAGCATTTAGATATGGAAAAGTATATCATTTAGATACATTTTTTTTATTTACATTTTTATTAACATTAGAAAAGGTATAGTAACATTAATAAGTTATGTCTTATAACAATATTTTAGATTTATGATATAATAATATTTTTCTCAAAAACTAAAGAACTATGTCTATCTGGCTGAAATCACTGAGAATGTCGCCTAGCTGTAGTTTGAGATTTCGCTGTCCTCTTACGTCATTGGTGTTTGCCTATATGGATTCTTCGTGCAGTTGTAAGGTCATATCTAGAGAGTTCTGTGGAGCAAGTGTATAATGGCTTATATAATGAGAGCTGGATTGCACATAAGGATTCAGTAAGGATAAGATTCAGTAGGTTTTTCATAATCTCCTAGTGAATCTGTATTCTTGTGTTTTTAAATCTTTTCAAAGGATGTGGTTTGTTGATGTGATATCGAAGGGCTATGTTATAAATAGAGTTTAACGATTTCAGATCTCTCTTGAAAGCGGACATATAAGCAATGCAGCCAATCTATTTTAGAGCAAATATTTGCTTAATATACTTTAAGAAGCGGCTTTGCATCAGTACTCCAGTGATAAAGACATAGTGTTTTAGGAATATTTAATCTATTGTGGCAGAAACTTTTTAAATTAAACATATGCTGCTTTCAAGAGAGGCGAGAGTCAAACCCAGTATTTTACAATGGTTAACTACGGGAAGAGGTAAACCATTTATAAATCTAGGTATAGGAGGCATTGGAGGTCGTCTGCTATCTAAATATGTAGGTTATATTTGGTAGAAGAAGGTATATTAAAAAATAGAGACAGCTTAAAACAGACATAGACAGCTTAAAAAATGAGTCCACAAGTTTTCTTTATAAACTACGTTTGGTACAAAAATTAGACGAAGAAATAAACGGAACAGCGAAAGAAATATATGAGACTTTTGAAAATCAAAATTCATGAAGCAGCATTAGAAGCTCTAGGTACGAAAGAAAAAGTAAAACGTAGAAATTATTGGTGGACAGAAGGTTTATTAGAACTCGTAGAAGAAAAGAAAAAACTGTATCTCAAATGGTTAGCGACAAAATATGAGGAAGACCGAAAGAACTATAACAGATACAAATATATAGTAAAAAAGGAAATTAAAAAACAAAAAACATAACCTGGACAACAAGTGTGCAGAAATAAGCTCAATGGTAGGAGGATCTAGGTCCAAACAAGCTTGGAAAACTATAAAACAGTCTTAGAAAAAATACAAACTAAACAAAAAAAATAAACCCCATAGACATAGAAAGATAGAAAAATTATTACGAAAAATCTATTAAATGAACAACGTACACAGTTTCTAGACACACAGATAGATAGAGTTGAAACGAGGTTAAATGAAGTGGCGATGATTACCGTTAGAAGAAATAAAAAACGCATTACAAAAATGAAAAATAATAAAGCTCCTGGCCGGGTGATTTACCTATCGAGTTATTCAAACATGCCACTGCAATAACATTAGAATTGCTTTGTAAAATGTTTAAGAAGTGCCTACAAGGAGAAAGTATCCCAAGAGATTGGAAAGTCTCGTACATAAACTCCATCTACAAAAAGGGAAACAGCAATGACTGCAGTAATTACCAAGGTATCAGCATTACGTCATCCACTGGCAAACTGTATGAAAGAGTTCTGAAAGCCAGAATAGAAAAAGAAGCCACAGAGATTGAAGAACAAAGTGGATTCCGACCAGGGAGATCTTGTGTCGACAATGTATTTACTCTCAAACATCTAATGAAAGAGATTAGCAAGAGGACTAGAACTTCATGCCACTTTTATATATCTCCGTAAAGCGTTTGACTCCGTAACGCTGCAGAGACTATGGACAACATTGGAAAACGCAGGTATAAATGCAGTATATATAAATGCCGTGAAAAAGCTATATCAAGATAACCAAGCTTATATTAAGGTTGGAAACCAAATTTCCAAGGGTTTCACCCAAACAAAGGGTGTCAAACAGGGCTCTTGCCTCTCCCCAACCCTATTTAAAAATATATCTTGGTAATGCTTTAAAATATTGGATGAGAAAATGCAGCCCAATGGCTGCATTTCAATCTATGGGCATATGGGTAATGACACTCCTATATACACAATTCTCTTCGCAGACGACCAGGTAGTTCTTGCCGAGGACCTACAAGATATGACGTACATGATAAACAAACTAATAGACGAATTCAAAAAATGGGGATTAGAGGTTAATACCGAAAAGACACAATACATGAATATAGGAGGAATCGATCAAGACATGGAAACAGAAAGCGGATTAATTAAAAACGTTGACCAGTACGAATATCTCGGAGTTACACTAAGCGAAGACGGGAGAGACGACAAAGATATAACAAGAAAAATAGGAAAAGGAAAAAAACATGATAAAAACACTACATCCGATCCTGTGGAATAAAACTTTAACTAAGAAAACAAAGAAAAATATATATCAGACTATGATTCAGCCGGTGCTGACGTGTGAGTCTTTAACAAGAATATGTCACAAAAACTCCTCTCAACGGAAATGATCTATTGGAGAAGATGTTCCGGGTTAACTTTGTTTGACCACATAAGAAATGAAAACATAAGAGAGAGAATGAAAGTAAAGAACACAATAATGGATACGATAGCCGAAAAAAAATTAAAATGGTATGGACACCTGAGACGGATGAACGAAGAAAGAATACCACGAAAGGTTTGGAACTGAGACCCTACACAGAGAAATAAAAGGGGAAGGCCAAGAAAGAAATGGATATCCAATATTCATATAGAAATGGAAAATAGAGGTCTTCAAGAAGGAGACTGGGCCGATAAGAAATTATGGCGATTGGGATGCGAGAACCGACAAAATTAAAGTTGCAAACACTCGCTATATATATATATATATGATATATATTATATATATATATATATATATATATTTATATATATAAGAAGGTATATTAGAATAAAGATCACTTATGGTGAGGTTAAATAAGGTAAGACTTAATACTGAACCCAAAGCACGTGGTGTTCGTTTGTATCAAGGTGTAAAAAATGCTTATTAAAAGCTTAAAACTTTTATTTTAAAGATCTTTTCGAAGTTGAATCATTCCATCATCAGTTTACTAAAACAGAGAGTAAAAAAAACTATATTAAAAACACGTAAGTTAAAATTTAAATGTAAACAAAGGATACGTTGTTTTTTTTTACTACTTACATAAAAAGTTTGTAAAAAGATTGTTTGGCCACAGAAAAATAATAGAAGACATCAGTAACACAAAAACAATCTCATGGAATTTACAAAGGTAAATGCAATAGACCGTCAACTACAACAAGGTAATTAAAAAAACTAAAAATGGGAGCATCTAACATGACCCACAGGAGCTGGTGAGATTTTGTCTACTTATATTACCTCTGATCTGTGCTGGAGTCTAGGGTTAACTGATAGAAAGATGGTATGAAAAATCAGTCAGTACCCGTCAACGTCAAGTGGAATGATGTGGTAGGAGCAAAAGTCATTGTGCTTCCGTTTATAAATAGGCCGTTTTTAGTGAAGAATTATGTTTAATCTGTAGTAGGATCAATAGCAATTTTTGGTATGTTAAAAAGGGGGAGAATGTCAAACAATGAGTGACTGTGATGTAAATTAAATTTGGTATACCAGGGTAAGACAAAATTTAAGTTAGGTAATTGTAAATTAAATCATTATCAAAAGTGAAAAAGGATGTTTTTACCTAATTACCTAATTACGTTCAAGTTTAGGTGAAACTAACTGAAACTATTCAGTTAGTTCACGACCTTCTCACATCTAAATCAACTGATTCCTCAGTCATCACACCAATAATAGACACTTTCCGTGTGTCTATCACAAGATTATTTTTCTTTTAATAAGTTTAGTAGCTTAATAGCTTAGCCATGGGAAGTTGTTTTTCCCCCTTTTTAGCTGACTTCATAAATCATCTAGAATCCACTCAAATCATGATTAACAATGCAATTCTACACTGGTGCCATTAAGTTGATGATTCCCTACTCGGGGCAGACATAAATTCTGATCATGCGCCAGTTTCAAAGTAGGTAATTTC